TGTCATCACGTGAGCGCGAGAGGATGGGATGTTCTCTGGCTGGCGGCTCAACGTTGGCTCATTTCTTCACGCCATGCAACCATTGCGTGCTCGGCTGCTTGTGCCCACTTACTCCCAGATCAACGCACTTCTCCCTTCGCAGCCGCTTGCTCACACATCATCGCAGTTTCGTGGGCTTGAGATTGATTATTCATGTTCTGTATCGCCATCTCCACAGTCCGGAGTCCGGGGATTCTTCTTCATATGCATGGCCGCAGCTTGAGCGTACGTATTTTGTATGAAAGTGCGAGTCCTACTAGTCATTGCTGGGCTGATAAACCCGTCCGGACTGACAAAATTTCATATGCGTTTGCATAGTGATTGTTTATCACGCGATAACGTCTTCTGCACAGCACAATCTCATGGACATCCTTGGCAGCTCAAAATCCACCGTTGCGCGATTTATGCCTCTGCAAACTCGGGTCTCGACACGGCCATCATGCTACGCCGATACGACATGGACATATGCATGGGCTCACCTGGCAGCATAATTATGCGTGAGTCTCGCGCTGCGGTCGTCTTCGCCAATTTTCAGTGCCTAATCTGAAACGATCGCATACCCCGGTGACCTGCGGCCTTCGGAGGTGTTTGCCCTGCCCACCACGCATCTTTTAGAATGGATGGCCTTTGCACTCGGCATTCTATGCAGTTATACACATTGCCAGCAGGCAAGTCCTTCATTTGCACTCATCTTTAATTTGTTAAACAAGAGTGCCCGACTGCAGGTCTTTCAGCGTCGAAGCTAATGAGTTAGGCAAGCATTCGCGTTTAGATATCGACAGCCCTTACCATTCATCATGTGACGCGGCTATCATGGCGTCGATGAAGGGTCATTTGCAGCAGCATCATGCGGATTAAACAGCACAAGGAGGCCAGATGATGGGGGAGCGTCAGTGGAGAAAACTAGCCTGGCCTGTGATGGGGTAAGAGCATGAATCAGCAAAACAGTCCGTGATTTCCATAGATATCATGCAGCGGGTGATGCAATGAGAACTTAGAAGAGCGAAGAGGACAAAGAGATGGGTGTCGGGAACGACCCTGGACGGCCGATGAACGCAGCACGAGGAACGCAAGGGCACAGGTCGAGAGAGGGGACATGGAAATATGCCAAACAGATGGGAACGACCCTGGACAGCCGATGAATGCAGCACGAGGAGCACAAGGGCATAGGTCGAGGGAGGGAACATGGAAATGCTGGTAGACTTCTGCTAAGGATTGTTAGTAGGTGGTAGAAGGGGTTGGAATGGAACTAGTTTGGTCGGCAATGAATCATGGCCTATCTCGGCTGTAAGTGCTCTCTGAACAAATTGAAAACAAACCCAGCATCCTTGGGCTCTTCGTCCCTTTCCTGCTCTGCACACTGCCCTCTCTCCAACATTTTCAACGGTTGCATGCGCACACTCACACACACCAGGCTACCACGTGAGCGATTTCTCAATTGCTGATAAATGACACACCGTGAGCTATGTAACTGAAGGGCTGATGCTCGCATCGTTAGACCGGTACCTCCAACTCCCATGCAAATAGTCCAGCTGCGTGGCCTTCCGCGCGTACCTTGCTGCTCTTTCGACGGTCTCAGAGAGTCGAACGGAGAAGATCGTACATCTGTGAGGTCGTTCGCGCTCGCGTTTTCATGTCCATTCGTATTCCGTCGCTGGCCAGGGTGGAGCCTCCACAGCAGATGCGACAGCCCCGACGCCAACCGGGCCGTCTCAGACCGCCGAAACAAACCCGGACGCCTCGTCTGCCCGAACGCGCTCCGCGACGAGTTCGACGTATCCACAGAAACGAGCTCCGGGCGCGACATGTACATGCTCGGGCTCGACGCAGAGTTCGCGAGCATGGGCCCGTCACCGAACGCGATGCCGCTATCAGTGCTGTTGCTCGTCGCCTCCGTATACGGCGGGGCCGGCCCTCGCTCGCCCTGGTTCTCCATCAACGGGTCCTCCACGGAGCTGCCTGCCTCCGATTGACCTCTGTGCAATTTTTCAGCGGTGCGGCACATCAGGCGAGACTGCGGGTCAGGTGGATGCTCACCGGTACACGACCACCTCCTGCTCTCCCGGCTCCTTCAGATACCGGTGCTAATGATGACATTATTGGATGGTATCTACTCCAAAAGACCACTCTATGCATAAACGCAGCCATGACAAGAATGCTAGTAATCTATATGTGACCATGCGACAAGAATCAGTGCGTGCTTAGTGTACAGTTTTGCTATCCTTCCTATGGGAGCGGCGGTGGAGACAAAACCTAGTGTGCGTCCCCGCATGACGCTCGGCCGCCTAGTGTTGGTGATGACAGGTGGGGACGACCACCTCGGGTTAGACGGAGCGTTGTCCCAAGACAGCGGTCTCGCCATCAGATATGCATGACCTGCGAAGCTATCTTGCTGCGTGCACGGATCGCTGGGCCCTTGAAGAACAACACCTGCAGCAACCAATGAACAAAGCAATCCCACTACACAGCGAAGGACGATACTCACAAACGGGATCGGGATCATGACCACTGCGATGAGCGCGAACAGCGTGTTCGCCCAGTGGTACGTCAGCCTGGCAAACATCTGTGTCGTGAACATCGGGAACGCCATGCCCATCAGGTTCCGGAAGAGACTCTGGCCGGCGAGCGCGGATGACGCGAACGTGCCGTAGCTACAATCGAAAGCAATTGGTGAGCGGAGAGGTGGTAGGGACATTGAAAGAGGTACGTACCAGTCCGCAAGATAGGTGAACACGGCGAGGTAGATGATGAACAGTGCCCACATGATGAGCTGCAGCGAGCTAGGGGTGAGGATCCGCTAGTCCGCAACGGAATGGCGGCGTACGTACAACAATGCCGATCGCCGGAGCGATCCAGTACACCTGAGTGTACGTCGACCAGGCGAAGATGAACATGCCAATCGGGAAGAGGATGGCGGCTGCCATTGGCGCATACAGCCGCGCTTCTGGTCCTCGAGTGGCAACGTTTTTACTGTGCAACGGCGACTGTGGGCTAAGCTCATCGTTTAAATTCACAACAGCATGACGTACCTATACATCTTCTCCTGAATCACATTCGTGCACAAGCCAAGCATGGCGCCTATCCTGTGAGTAGTTCAAGTTGTGAGTAGTTGAACACCTCTGTCGAGCTAGACCACGTACGTAATGGTGATGAACGCCGAACCCTCCTCGCCCGCGTTGAAGTGATGCAGTGTTCGGAAGACGGGACCAATGGCCCTAGGCGACATTATAGTCAGTCTGGCATTCCACCGATCAGGGAGAACGTGACCCACTCTATCATGACGTAAAGGATTCCCCATGCGAATCCGACCCACAACTGCATATCAAATGGTGATCAGCAGAGCTAGAAGGCAGAGAAGTCTCACAACGCACCGTGAAGCTCGCAATCACAGGCTCAGTCAATAGCAGATCTAACACGTGAATCTTGGCGTAAGCGAACAGCACCTTCGTCGCATGGGAAAGATCTACTCACAGATCGGACGCGTGCAGGAGATATAGATGAGTGTACCCAGCGACGCACGCTCGTCCTCAATACGCGCACGGATTCTCTTGTCACCGGTTTCCTTGCGCATCTTCTTCGCCAACCGCACCAGCAGCACCGACGCACGCGTCTCCTTCATAAAAACCGGCACAGCGACCACGAACACGCCCGTGAAGCTAAAATGCAGAGAGCTTCAGGAATAGAAGCATGGAGAATAGGGAGGATACTACCATACATAGCATGTATCCACTGAATCCAGCGCCATTCGAGGTGCGGGTTCTGCTCGATCCAGCCGGAGGCAAGGCACCCAACGCCGGTTGCGCCGATGGCAGCAGCGGCGAAGGAAGCCATTGCTACACCACGTCTACAAAGGAGCGTCGCGCTCAGTATGTTGTAAGCGCACACCAGTGAAATGGGACGTACTCTCGTGTAGAGAAGATGTCAGCGACGGTGCCGCCCACCATGGTCGAACCCGTTGAACCAAAGGCGCCCGCAAAGAAACGCGCTATCAGGACTGTTTGAATGTTCTTGCCACTGAAATCATCTTGAGCGTCGATGATTACGAGTCGAGCCACAAAGGTACTCACACTGCCGTAGCAATGGTGAAAAGCAGGAAACCAATCCCACTGCACAGATACAATGGCTGTCTACCGAACTCTTCGCTGAATGACGCGGTGACAAGAGGCACTATACCAAATCCGAGACAATATAGTGAGATGCCGAGAGTAGCCTGGAACTCCGTGCAATTTAGATCGCGCATCATTGATGTGAAACCGATCGCGTATGACGAGGAGGAGGATGCTGAATCACCTGTCGGTATGCAATACATTTATTGCCAAAAGCAGTCCACTCACCGACAAGGACGGAGAACAGGCACGCAGTGAGCAGAATTGCCTGCTTCCGTGCCGGAGAAAAGTTCGCAGGGTCCTGCTTGTCGCCCTTCTCGAACTCAATATAGAGAGGTTCCTGGGAAAAGTCTTCTGCCTTTTCTTTTTCATGCAAGCCCTCCTTCTGCAGATGGTGGTCTCGGTGGTGTATGTAGTCTTCGAGCTGCTGTACATAGCTCTCGTCGAGGACCTCGTTGTCCGGTCTGTCTGCGGGAGCAAGGCGGGGGTCCACGAGTTCCGAGACGTCCTCAAGGCTCCGGAGGACGACGTGGTTCGCATTCTCCTCGGCGAGGGTGGCCTCTTCGTCGCGCGCGTGAGTCATGGCGAGAAAGGTAGCGAGAGATGGTGACAAGGAGCATGCCCTGATGATGGATGGGTTTATATCGCGCCATGCTTGCCGTGCAGATTCATGATATGATACCCCACGGAGCACACCTTAGATGCCGTCTCGGGATGTTCCCGGGGATTGAATCTGACTGAAAACACCGCTGAACGATTGGCTAGAATAACTCGGAGACTAAAATCTGAGATTGAGATCGTGTCCGACGTGGACTTCTCGCGCTGCATCGGAGCACCTCCTTTTTCCGCGTAGCTGCCCCTATGCGATCATGCGTACTCCCGCCGACGCATGGTTCCATCTGGCGCTCTGAAAAGGTACTCAAACAAAGATTTAGTGCGATATGATGCATTAATGCTCCGAGTGAGTGCGCGATCGACATCCACATGAGGTTTGTTCGCGCGTACCTGCGAGCGCGCCTCGGTGTCGGCCATGGCTGAGCGCTGAGCGCCGACGTCCAGTGCTGGATGACCACCAACTCGCCTTCGCAATGATTATCTCTATACATTTCTCGGCTGCCGTAATCCGTTGAGTGTCAAGCTTATCCGCGCTGATTTATGACTGGCCTCTGAGTCGGTGGGCAACAAAGCAGAAAGCCAAGTATGCCGCCGCCCATCTCGATCGCATCGTGATCAGGAGCCTTAGAATTCAACACATACAAACAACTCGCTACGTCCAGTCACATGACATCTAAGGTAGATTCGCGCCGCCGTCACGGCGTTCGGACTTGTCTGCTGCCAGCTCGCAGGTCCGCTCTTCGTCTTCAACACTTCTAGTACAAAGCTCATGCTCGCATCTATCTAGCTCATGAATGTGGCTCGTTTGGCGTCGGCAGGCTTGCTAGCATGTCGCGTTTCCAACGCGTCCCCGTTCTGCCGTGATCTCATCAGCAAATCCGTCATACTCCATCCGTGCCTCCGACTCAAACACACCGCGAGCGATGAATCTCGCCTTATACGCGAAAATATGCGCACTTTACTTCGCGAGACCGCGCAGCCCGTCGCAGTCGTGACCGCTCTAATGCCTCCCTCCGGCACCCCGACACCTTCTTCGTCGGATCACCAGCGGTTTCACGGTGCGACGCTATCCTCATTCAGCTCCGTCTCCATGGACCCTCACCCCCTCGTCGCGTTCTCGCTGCGCGTACCTTCCCGCCTCGCCACCTCGCTCAAAGAAGCGCACGCCGCGACCCATCTGCCCTCCCACATGGTCGTAAACATCCTCTCTGCTGCGCAGGCCGCCCTCGCCGTGCATTTCTCGCAGCCCGACCTATACCCGAACCCTTTCTCAGCCACGCGCTTCACTCTCACGGCAGAAGGCCTGCCCGTCCTCGCTGGCGCGCTCGGAGCGCTCTCATGTAAGCTGATCGCGGGATCTTGGCCGCTGCATGACCTCGAGTCATTGGAGAGCCGCGGAGGAAAGGAGGCACCAGTGTGGGATGGCGAGGGTGTCGCGTCTGAGCTGTTCATCGCGCGGGTCACGCGCGTCGAGTCGGTCGTGCCCCTTGAAGAGGAGGACGGGCTACGGACGTCACCGCTTATATACTATCGGCGTAGCTACGCTACGACACGCACTCTATATCCAGGAGACGATAATAAGACGTAAGGAGGTATAATATCATTGCAGGAAGTCCGGAGAGCTGCTCCAGTCAACAGTCTTAAGCTACATGCAAATGCAGATGCCAAAAATCAGAGAGCTTGCACAGATGCCTACACCTTCATGAAGGAAAACAGCGACGTGAGATCCACCCATCGCCGCCCGCACTGCTCGAGGTATTTCTCGACGGTCGCGTCCATCGTCTGCAGAAACTCTGCCTGAACGTTGACCAGTGCTCTCAACTCATCTATCAGAAGTACCATGAGACCACAGCAGCGGCACCGATGCCGACGGACACGCACCAAGCTTGACGCCAGTAACCGCCTTCATTGCTTTCTCAGCACTGAACAAGGAAGCATAGTATCGCAGCTGATTGTAGAGCTGCGCATCCGAGTACTGTTACCAACCGATCAGCACGCCATCCGGTATGCAGCCGACGAGCAACCTACCTCAAACGAGACAGATCCTGCGCATCCCTGTCGCAAGCACCGCCGGCCATAGACGCGCATCATGCGCGTGCGGTTCCCGCACGTCGGGTCGTCGCAGACCGTCCATCCCTCATAGTACTTATTTATATGCTCGCGGATCTGCGTCTCCAGCTGAACTTGAAGACTTGCCGTGCCCATCACGGACTTGCATCCGGGGCATGTAGGACCGGAGGGCAATAAAAGTGATGACTGTCACGGCGAGTGAGCACCTGTCAAGTCGTATAGTGATAGTCATGTGCACCTCTCTGTCACTGATGGGCTCAAATGCAATCTCAGCCTTGCATTGACGACACCGCACGATGAAATGATCCGCATCGTTGAACCGCTCGGCTTCCGATATGAGCGAGTCGAGGGTGCCGAAGTACCGCTCTTCTGACTCGCCCGCGCTAGAGCGATAGCGGCTTGCATCCAGTCCTTTAAGACGACGAGAAGTATGAGCAAATACACAGAAGCACATAGCGCCTGCACGCTTACCTAGACATTCCGCTAGTCGTGCACGATCGGTGCCCTCAATCGGCTCGCACAGCCGTTCAATTGGAGGGAGTATTTGCTGCGACAGGTAGTACTCGTAGTCTTCCTAACCATCAGCTTGCGTCCCTGAAGAAGAGTAGAGGAAGCATTCTCACCGATCTTCAGCTCCGACTCCGCCCTGCGCAATTCGTCAGGGTGCTTCGCCCGGTCAGCCTGCGCCGATTTCGCAGCCTCGCCGTTCTCGCCCAAACAGAACACATAGGGTATCACATCGCCTGCGCGAGCCGTACCGCCCCTTGCCTTCATGCGCATTGCGACCTGGACATGAGGTTGGCTCTTGGCGTCGGGGTAGTCTTCCGGATTCTTGCCTAGTCGCTGTTCCAGTGTTAGCGCAGTACCACAGAATGTGAACGTTGACAGATACCTTGAAGACGATGAAGTCGTCCATCTTGACCTTGCCGGCACGCACATCCTCCCCCATGCTCGTCAAATACTCGTGTATTCGCTCGACGACCGTCTCGGTCGCTTCTCCCGAAAGTATTTGTTCGAGAACGTAACTGCATGGCCATCAGACGAAGCCATATAGCCTATGGACCAATGGGTACTTACTGAGAGACATTTTTGGAGAGGACACAATACTCTCTTCGTTTCATATCCAGACCCTTGACTTCAGTCGACGTCCGCGTGCCGTCCTCCACCTTAATGGCAGCATACTTCTTCTTCTGCAGAAGAAGCAGCCGCTGGAAGATGCCATCCAGATCGATCTCGAGCAGCTTGTATCGGTCGTTTACAGCCTTCTTGAACTCTGCGGAGATCTTCAAGGCTTCCGCGAGGTCAGTGACGTTTGAGTTGACGAACACAGAGTCGGTATCTCCGTAAACGACCTGGATATAACGATCGGCATGAGCATGCCGATGAGGGGAATTTGCCTACATCGAGTTGCAGACTCTCTGCCAGTTCTCGCGTATGTGTCAGAATTTCTCGTCCCTTGAAGGTCGTCAAGGCGGCGAGTGGCCTCGCATAGAACCTCGAATACTCGAAACCGAGACATCCGTACATACTGTTGGCGGTTAGCTTCAGAGCCATTTGCTTGATATCCCACTGGAAATGAGGTGAGCAAAAACCCTCGCGTGACAAACAAGCTAATAGTTGTACCTGCAACAGTTGCGACTGCGTCGCTTTGCGGTCTTTCATCAAGCTCTTGACTTGTCGACGGCGGTTCACCAAAGTGGCGATCAAGCGAGGCAGGACGCCCTGAGTAACGTCAGAGCTTGGCGGTTCCGGCATCTTCTCCTCGCCGTCCTGTCGAAAGTAGTGAGCAATGGCTTCACCGGCAAACTCTGAATGACTTTACCTCATCTTCCATTTGCTCGACAGTAGTGAAGTCGATGTTGTACTCTTGGATGATGCTGGGGTACAGCGAGTTGAAATCCATGACAAGGATGTACTTGTCCCACAGTCCACGTTTCGGCTCAAAGACAAGACCTCCTTTGTACTTATCTCTCTTCCCTTTTGTGGTCTTGCCGCCTTCTGCATCATCGTCATGGGACACCTTCTCTGCCGTAGCCGCTTTCTTGCCCCACAGTTTGTCCGGGCAAATGTACTTCAAGCGATGAAATTCGTGCAGCAGAATGTACTCGTTGCGCTCGGCACGCCCACCATTTAAGGTCTTATTCCTACCAAACATCTAGATGAGCTCTCTGTGCATGCTGAGAGCCCCCGCGCCTACCATGAATTGCCCGCCAGGTTCGTGAGCTGCCTCGTCAGAGGCAATATTTGCACTTTCGCAGCAAGCGCCATCTGAAAATGAGCATCGAGTTCACAATGACGAACGAAGGTGAGCAGTCGCTCAGGCGAGCTAACGCTACTGTCGAAGTAGCTCGCTGTGTCGTCTGGATCTATGTCCTGTCGCTCGCTTTTCAGATGTGTCTTGCACATCTCTGTTAGAGACCAGGTCGTCGAGGATATCATGCCCTACAATGTGTTCGTTTGTCAAACCGTTCTCATCGAGGACGATAAGATCACGCACCTTCGCGCTGTCACTTGCAAGGTCACATAGCAATCTTCCATTGACGAACTTAAGGTTGGTACCTTGCCGGCCGATGCTTGGCCATTTAGATCTTCTAAAGCGACCTATCCTTGACCAATGATCCGCCTTTAAGTCGCGCATCCGGTGAAGTAGGACATCCAAGGACACGCCAAGGAACTCATGTCCTACGATCACGTCCGGATCTGCTTTGTGAATAGTAACTGCAAAATACGACGATGAGTCTATGACTTCCGAGCATGTTTCAGTTGCAAAGGAGGATATACCTAACAAGCTGTTCAGAAGCATTCGCTCATTCTTCATCGGCGAGATCACTCCTTTACCATTGCCTCGAGCGCGAGTCTCGAAGTTGGGCGGGAACTTGTCCAGGGGTCGGACGAACGTTCGGACGGTGCATGGTAGAGCTTCGGGTGGAGTGGGATCGTCGATGTCCACTACACAATCAAGCCATTATGATCAAATCGATGTAAATATGAACGTGAGAATGCATACAATTTGACCAGATTCGAGCTGTGGCACAGACGATCTCGCGGTTGTTCTCTTTATGGTTGACAATTGTCCGCAAGCTAAGACTCACGACGTTGAGAGGAGGCATCTCCCTCGGGGCTTGATCATCAGTCTCAGAAAACGGATTAATATCTTTGGGATCAGACACGGTGGCTTCGACTTTGCACCAAGACACCTAAGCAGAATGAGAGAACATATAATTCTCAATGGAAGCACACTCACTCCCTTGTGATCTAGCTGAGGTTTCTTGATCTGAAGCCAGCATGGACCCATGATCTTCCGCTTGAGTACCAGCAACTCGAATGCGGTAGTATTGGTGCCGAAGATGCGAGCAAAGTTAGGACTAGAGACATTATTCGGAAGCTGAGGCTCTGGACGAGGTGCTTCAATCGCTTAGAACTTCACCTAACCGTTCATTTACGTACCATTGAAGCCATATACGACCTTGAACCACTGAGATTCACCTCTCGGGACGTCCTTCTCCCCAAACGCATACCTTCTCTTCACGACTTTGCCCTTCCAACTCTTGATACCAGTCCTGCGACGGATCTGGTCGAAGTCGCTATAAATGTCAGACATCTCGGGGATGACATCTGTCTCGTATATTTCTCCAGTCTCCTCGTCTAGATCGACGCGGCGCTCGCGCGGGAGAACGAACAGATTCCGCTGCAAATTCTCCACCATGACACAGCATGAAAGCCATGCCTTCGATGCTTTGTCTTGCGTCTTGCCAATAAAATATAGCTTGCCTTCATGTTCCAGGTAGTCGAGCCAGAAGAATCGCAGCGAGCCATCTGGCTCAAGTACAGAGACGTCGGAGGGATTACTTGAGATCCCCGAGGCCATAGTCGAATGACCTATCATCTCTTCCGGGGCGGTTTTCAAGGATTCATATACAGAGAGCCAAGACGGCGTCGTCTCCTGCTTCATATTGAGCTTGCCATTGATAGGCTTTAGAGGCTTATGTTCCTCCTCCGTCTCCATCTTCACTTGTATGCGTCCTGAGTTCACGGGCTTCGGCTTCCGGTTGTCAAGCTCCGCAATATCGACATCCATTAAGTCACTGTCGTCGAAGGCCGAATCATACTCGTCTGGCTCGCTAGCGTCGCTGTAAACTCCCAATTGACTTAGCTGCTCGATAGCGGGCTTCAGGTCGCTAGCCTCAGTCCGCATCTTCTTCTTGGGGCTGAGGATTTCATCGTCGCTGGCGGGAATGTGGTCTAGTGGGTCATCAAGGAATCCATCGGAGGACATGTCTGCGGTTGGGTAGGAGGACCTATGATGATAGGCATCACGATGCCGATATAAAGATGTGCGGGGCTTGGTTGAGAATTCCCGCTCCTCGTTCCTCTCTATGCTCGGCTTGCGCTTGCGAGACCTTGAGATTGCGGTGGCATTGCTAACGGTCTTCTCCATATCATTGAACTGGCCAAGAATGTCTTGCATGAAGTCATCTTCTTGCTCCTTTGAGACTGCCGGACGATAGGCACTAATGGAAGGGGTGACAGTGGGCGGAGGCGCCTTGGGTTTTCCCTTTGGTCTCGCCTTCGAATCAGCTTTGCCACTTTTTGCTGCAAATCGATATCAGTGTTTGAGCTCCACAGATAGATGCACATAGAATGCACCTTTTCGCTTTCCCCTAACGTCTTCGCTATCCGCGCCTTGTTCTGCCTCCGAGAAATCGTCCAATCCATTGTCCATGTAGCCCTCGGCACCATCATCCTCCACAAAGTCGTCCTTCGCGAGCCTCCCACGAACGATAGACTTGTACTGCTCTTCAGTTACCTCATCATATATACGAACGTCTTCATCTTCCTAGACATCATAATGTAACTCCAGCAACAAGACACGACGAAATGAATTATACCTTCCAGGTACGACCGCCGCCTTCCCGAGCGCGTTTGTACTCGGCCAACTTCTCAAGCCTCGCTTTCTTCTCGCGCATAGCACGGTCGGACATTCTAGCCAATACCCAGAAGAAAGATGACAGACAGCAGCGTGAAGGAACAGGGAAGCAGGTGCAATTGAGTGACGCCGCAGACGCGACGCGTATCATTGAGGCGGAGTTTCAAAGCGTGTTTCATTCAGACTAGGCGCCCGAACCCAAAGGGAATTTTCAATTTTGTACCGTCGGTTGCTAAATGTAGACTTATCAACCATAAGTTCTTTTTCTCGGTCACGAGACCACGTTTCGCCAGTAAAGCTATTCCGATTTGATTCCGATTGATCAGCATTGTAACCAAAACTTGCGCCATTCGGTTCGCGTTCGGCTTCACCTTGCTTCATACCTCCAGCATGTCTTCCAGCATGTTCCGCTCAGCATTCCGCTCGACAGTATGCTATCTACTGTCTGCCCGGTGCTCGACGCTGACTCTGTCTAGGTCAATCCTCTACTCCGATCCTCTGTGCAAACCCAAAGCTTCCGAACTCCCACACTCTCTTTCGCTGCTCGCTTCCTCTCACAAGAAGCGAGGTCTAAAATTCAATCAGCGGTGAAGTCGACACCAGTCGTGCTGTTCATGAAGGGTACTCCGGATGCACCTCGGTGCGGATACTCGCGTGGCGCTGTGCAAATTCTCGGTCTCCATAGCGTATCTCCGGAGAAGCTGAAGACATACGACGTAATGGAGGACTCTGAGCTCAGGAGTGGGATCAAGGAGTTCTCGTGCGTATATCATCTATGTTATGGCTTGAATCTCTCTGATAACAGAAAATACTGTACAGCGACTGGCCAACAATCCCTCAGTTATACGTGGACGGGGAGTTTGTGGGAGGTTTCGACATTCTCTGCAGCAGTAAGTACCACCGAAGTTACCTTTTGGGGGAACTTATCACTTCGAATCCCGTCTAGTGCACTCGTCAGGCGAGCTTGAGGAGCTGTTGGAAAAGAAGGGTGTCCTCCCTCCGCTCGAGGAGGAAGCCCAGACGGCAGCATCGTCTGGCTTGTCGTAGATGACCGAGGCCTGACGCTCTGCTCATGTACACGGGCAGGATGAGGATCCCATACCCTCCCTACTATATGCCATACTATGCTCATCAGTTTGTCATGAATGTATTGTATATAATTATGGCTCCTTTCACTTGTCAGTACTGGGGCCTTGACATGATCGGAGGAAGCGCCTATAACGGACCATTCAGTATTCACGTGCCCAACTGTACTCTGTCAGCGTATTCTTTCAATCTTCCTGCATATCCACCGCACTCTTGCTCTGCTCTTCATAATGTTCGGGCTACGCACGTCCATACAGAGATCCTTGATGGCATCCTCTGCCGTCCCTCTCGCTCGAATATCACATCCATGGACATTTGGGAGACAACCTGCAGCATTGCTTCCTCGATCGCTCTCGAGTTCTGCGGCAAATGCGACTCAAGCTTCATCTTCTAGGCCTTCATCTTCATCTCCGGAAAGATTAGAGCAAGGCCCGGAGGCTCAATCCTCATCGCAAGATGCAGCAGCGTTTGCCATTGAGCCACGGCTTTCGTTGACCTTCACCTGTACGGTGACCACGTGTGGCACACGGTCATCGCACCAATTTACACGCAGAAGCTATGAAAAGGGAATTGTGATCGTGCAGTGCCCAGGATGCAAGAATCGGTGAGGACTTGATTAGCTTTTAGCGCATGTGTGGACCGTATTCATTATTATTCATATCAGACATCTAATAGCGGACCATCTGGGATGGTTCAAGGAGAGTACGGAGGATGGAAAGATGAAGACAGTTGAGGATCTCGTACGTGCGAAAGGAGAGAAGGTGAGGCGGGGTGTGCTCCTCGAAGATGGGGTAGTAGAATATGCCCCGGAGTAGCGGCACTGTGTACGATATCAAGATCCTCGGTATGCCTTTTCCTGTCGTCATCTTATGACTATAACTCAGAGTTGAGTCTAGCCCGGTTGTTCTATCAATCGAGTCTCCATCGCTAGTTGCTCATCAGCTCAAGGTCGGGAGATACTGATACGAAATGGCCGCCGATGCCCTGTCGTCAACAAACGCAGTCCGGCATATGTGGGAGATGAGCCAACTATTCTCTCCAGAAGCTTATTTTTTAGATACAAGGAGGCCCTGCTTTCGGCTGCATTTTGTTCCCCGCCCAATATATCCTCGCCGACAACCACTGTTCACAATCAGTGATGGAACAAGCGCAGGCTCGTGTGCGCGAACACCATATCATGTTCATCAGCAGCCTTGATGCACTCAGCATCCATCACACTTCCGCTCGGGGCAGCCAAGTACCTCACACCGCTCCTCCTTGCGCGGTACACGTTGTCCGGGAAGGGGAAGAATGCGTCGCTCGAGCATGCCACACCATCCAGAAGCTTCGCATGGCTCGCGCGCTCCTCCGCCGTCAGCTGCTTAGGCACCTCCTCAAACAGGCTCTCCCATTGCGCCTTCTCGCCGCCCTCGAGCACCTCACCGCCGACAAACAGGTCGATTGCGTTCGCCTTCTCCGCGCGCTTCACGCCCTTCTTGAACGGGAGCGCAAGCACGCGCGGGTGGTGCCGGAGCCACCAGAGGTCCGCCTTGGTACCAGCGAGTCGCGTACAGTGGATGCGGGACTGTTGACCGGCGCCAATGCCAATGATAGCGCCTCGGTAGGCATATGCGACGCTGTTGGACTGGGTGTACTTGAGCGCGAGCGTGGCTACGATGAGGTTGGTGAGGGCCTGATTGGGAAGCTGTAGATGCGCGGCATGAGTGTATACACTAGAGGCGGAAGTGTTGAATTGGTACCGATTTGTTCTTTGAAACGATATTCTCAAAGAGCTTCGCATCAATCTTGGCGTCGTTGCGCCTTTGCTGCATGTAGATGCCATACACCTGGCGCGTCTCCATCAAGGCAGGTTTGTATGAGGGATCCATCTACGAGATCGAGTTAGTCATTACCCGTGAAAACATGCAAGCTGAGGCACACCTGCAGGACGCAGTACTTGCCGCCCTTCTTTTTGGAGAGCACCCCTAATGCCTCAGGGGAGTATCCAGGTGCGATAATCCCGTCTGAGACCTCACGAGAGATGATGCGAGCGGTTGCAAGATCGCAAGGCGTAGAGAGCGCGATGAAGTCTCCGAAAGAGGACATGCGATCCGCGCCTGACACAGCCCTCGTTAGCGCATCCTCTGCTAGCGCCACCACATATCTGAAGCTGACCTCGAGCACGGGCGTATGCAGATGCCACTGGTGTCAACGGCTCCTTGAGGTCGTCCACACCGTAGACCTTCTTTTCTGTCTCATCGAGCTCGATGCCAACAGCCGCACCAGCAGGTGATACGTGCTTGAAGGATGCTGCAGCTGGAAGGCCTAAGGCCTCTTGCAGTTCCTTCACAAGTGCATAAGAGTTGAGCGCGTCCAGCAGGTTGATGTAACCGGGAGAACCACAGAGTGCTACGACATTCTGATCAATGGGCATCATCTAGACGGCGGACAGCAGACGTACCCTTGATTGGCAGCTCTCCCTCAGTAACATATGCTTGAGCAGGCGTTTGGTGCGGGTTCGCGCCGTAGCGAAGCGCAATCCGCTGCACAGGTCCGGCCAGCTTCTCCGGGAGCAAATCCGCTGACGCGTACTGCTCGCGGAAGTATCCGCTGATCGCATCGTCGTACTTCGCTGTCATCTCGAACGCCTTGAGTGCGAGCTTGCTCCGCAGTGCCTGTCCGACGTCGCCCTTGCTGACGCGCCATGCCTCCATGAACTCGACATAGTCGGTGGGGTCCGAGAGCACGGACACGCGGGCGTGGTTCTTCGCGGCCGCACGGAGGAGGGTCACGCCGCCAATATCGATCTCCTCGACCGCGTCGGCGAGAGTGCAACCCGGCTGGGCGATGGTGGAGGTGAACGGGTATAGATTGCAGACGACGATGGAGATCGGGGAGATAGATTGGGCCTTGAGATCGGCCTCATCAGAAGGGATGTAACGCGCGAGAATACCTGGTGGTAAAAAAAAAATTATTGATCGCTTCAGACGGCATGATAGCAGGCACTTACCGCCGTGGACGGCGGGATGGAGCGTCTTCACTCGACCGCCTAGCATCTCCGGAGCTTTCGTGATATCCGAGACATCCCTAGATCCTGACGTCACAGCACAATCGGTGGGCTCAATGGTAAACCACGTACTCGATAGGGATGCCTGCCTCCCTAATTTTCTTTGCGGTGCCTCCAGACCCCAGGAGGCGAACTCCTGCTTCATGCAGCGAGCTCGCGAACTCGAGCAAGTTGGCCTTGTCGTAGACCGACAGCAATGCTTGTCAACATATTAGCATACAGCCATAGGGCAGCTTGGATGAGCTCTACCGATTGGTGCAGACATGAGCGGCGGGAGACAGTGGTTGTGCCCAGATTTTCATTGCCAAACGTGCTCATCAATGTATATCTCGATCGATCGTGTTTAGGACTTTCTCCGTTTACACGGTCGATCAATTCAGAGTCTATGGCATTGTACTAATAATAAATGTATTTAACAAGATCTACGCTATGCGGATTTGTGACACTTTCTGCTCTGTCACGACGAGCCTCCTCACAATCGGCGTAATCAGCCCAAAGGCTGTTCATCAGCTTCAGATTTCGTCGACTGCCGCTCAGCGAGGAGATCCCGACCCCACTGCTTCACCTCGGGATGCTGGATGAAAGGTATGCTGTTGTCAAAGAACGATTGCAGTGTCGGATTGGAGTGTTGACGTTCGTATTCTGATGCTGTGTTCACTCAGACGTCAGATCCCCGTTGTATCGTGCAATGATGCTGTGACAACCTTGAAATGCCATCTCGAATCTATCGAGATCTGTGTTTCATGAGCAATGCACCAAGACATGACAGGGATTGAGATGTGTACCTTTGACAAAACGAGCCTCATCAGATTCGCCATCCTCATATTCCTGCATCGTGCCGTGCCATAAGCTGTCATGCTCCTTAGATTACCGATGACAATGGCACTTGCCTTCCACAATGCCTCAATCCTTTGAGCAGCAGGGCTACTATGCAACATCTCGTGAGTGAAATTATGCATCGCCTCCTGGGAAAAGATCATGAACAGAAGCCACATGCACGCTTATGAGAGATAATCACCGCTTCAAGACGTCTCTTCTCAGATTTTGGAATGCCTTCATGCGGCGTAATGTCTCCGACTATGCGTCCGCAACTTAAAGTCAAACACTGAAGAATGGAAGGTAAGCGGAAAAGATCACGCTGACCTTGAGCTTCCGCGAGGTCATGCACTAGACACATCATCACGCATCTGCCAGAGGTCAGTCTTGAGTTGTATGTATTCTACTCCGGGAATCGCTCACCTCGAGATATCGAGTTTCGCATCGGAAGTGCACATAGCCATTATTGCCATCCTATACATGTGGTCCGAGATGCTACATATGTCAAGTCAGCACTCGTAGTAGGGAAACTTTGTCGAGCTCCCATGCTGCACAGCCCTCCGCCGGTCGTTAGGCCGGTGGGCTTGTCTGAGCGAACGCAAGCATGGGACCGCTTGCGTGCCAATAAATTATCGCGCAGAAGCTCGTGCACATCTCAGAAGCGCTGTAAAAAGGACAATAAATCATACCTTTCCGCGTTGGGAATCTATTAGCGGTGACGTATAGTGAGCAGCGTCATGGGTGCTCGTGGGACACATCATACTTTGTGCTCTACCCATCCCGTTCGTCTCTGCGTCTGAGACAGCGATATAAGCAATCATACACTGATTAGCCAGGATACCCACCTTGAGACGTTCCAAGACGTGGAAAAATGCCAGTCTGTCGACAGGGATATCTCCATTTGAAACATACAGAGGCGGGAACACTCGTTTGGGCACTTCGGCCATCGCGCGAAATGCCCAACTGATTGCACCTAGTCTAGACCTAAAAGACATAGCTATGAACCGTTCCCAATGCGGATATCCAAACGGATTGGCTGTGTGATGCTGTACTGACCAGCTGAGGGGACTAATGCCGGTGTTAACTTTTAATTTTTGCCGCTGGATAATGGATTCTAATTTCTGGAAGATGATGTGTGCGGGCACGTGACTCCTACCATGTAAGTGGCGCGGAGCGTCCGCAACGAGCCTTCGGACCACCAACATCCTTCCTCAGCGCTCTGCGTACCGCATCTTAGTAGACCCATCCTCGTACCGGGTCGACTTCATTTCCAAGGCTTACAGACGCAAGATAGCCTCTTGCTCAAGATACTGTTTCCCGTATGCAAGAAGAGCAAGGTGAGTCGACGCACCGCGATCTCGTGCCGGACAAGTTGCTTAAAAGGCCTTTTTAGTGACGTGCAGAATATGCAGTGCCCCAGCAGAACCGGACCAACCACTGTTTCATCCCTGCAGGTGCTCGGGTACTATTCGGTACATTCATCAAGACTGGTGAGTCTTCGCCCTCGCCGCGCTCAACACACTCTGACCATCCGCTAGCTTGACCACATGGCTTGCTCATAGTAAGAAAAAGACATGCGATATCTGCAAGCACCCATATGCCTTCACCAAAGGTACGGATCCTCGAGTTCGTCTTGGGTGCGCAACTCACGAAGCTTCCAGTGTACGCTCCGGATATGCCGGAACGTCTGCCAATCGTCCTACTCCTGCGACAACTCTCAAGGCAAGCGGCAGCGGCAGTCCTTTTCTTCTTGCGGGCTATGCTTGTTGGATTTGTCTGGCTGGCGGTGCTACCATTGGCGACTATTTGGATATGGCGGATGTTCTTCGCAATGGGTGACTCTGCGTACGTCTCATTGCAAACCAACGTCGTCCCTACTTCTTATGAACCCATATTACAGAGCTTGGTGGATTAGCAATCGTCCACGGCCGGAGCCGGGCGTGCGGAACGTCGACGTTACTTCAACGAACGGCACATCCCCAGCCATCAGCAGCGCCGCTCAGTTTGGGGACGATAACATCACCTCTATTTTCTCGCACCCGGTTGCCCGAGCGATCTCTTCGGACATTTTGTCAGGCCAAATCATTGCATCACTGATCGTACTCGCCTTTGTTGCGATATTTCTTTTGCGGGAGTGGATCTCGCAGAACGCTCGCCCGGGGGTGTTCGATGATGCAGAGGTTGTAGCGGAAGAGCAAGTCCAACCGCAACCTCCACCACCTCCTCGGATTCAACCAGTAATGCCAGAACAAGTCGGTGTTGTTCGGGTGCGCGCTGCCAACGCACCGAGACGGGAAGAGCCTGCAATAACTCACGTGCGCGGACGCCGGCAGCGGATTGACGCTGCTGTTGTCAGACGTCAAGCTGTTGCCGCTAGAGAGAGCCCGAATAAGCGATTACGGCGTGCTGAAAGTTTGGACGAACAAAGGCTACGTAGGCGGAGAGTGAAAGGGAAGCGCATCGAGCGACCGGGGATAGGTATCGGGGCTACGCAGCTCCACAGGTGGCACTCACCCGGACAGTCAGAGTCCAACATCTTTGAGGGACTGGGGTCATTGGATGAGGAGGATAGTTATGATACACGGGCAAGAAGGGAATATCCCAGGGAGCGGACAGCAGAATGGCAAGATTTCGGTCGCACAAGTCGTCCCACTCTCGAGCTTACGCCAGAACAGGCGCGTTTTACGTTCAGAGCGCAGACACCGAGTCAAGGGCTGTCGAGCGACGCAGAAAACGCAGACATAATTCGCGACATTTCTCCTCCTGCGTTTACCGAACATGTACACGTTACAACAGGAACAGACTTATCCTCTTGGTCTCGGTCCATTCCGGACGTTCCTCGAGATGTGTCCTTTTCCCTCTCTCCAGAAGAGGACCACTTCACAAGTTCCTTCCACCGTCACGATCGCTCATCAGAATCCAAGGGATCAGACATTGAATACGCCTCTGCGTACCTTGATGCGCCACCCTCATCCTCATCTAGCATCGTGCGACGGGAGGGTGAGACTTCTTCTTTGCCAGCCCTGCAGTCCGAACCGTCTGGGAGTCTACGACGCCCTCCATTACCCAGTGTGACTCTTCCGCCTTCCTCCGGAGCTTCATCTGCTGCTGGTATAGCACGGAGCCGTGTTACAACACCATTAGCTTCACCTAATCTGGCGACCTATCGTCCACCGGAAGAATTTGAAGCAGGACCGTCTACGTTTTCCGGTTACTTCGAAGGCGAAGGGCATATGCAGGATGAAATTGATGACATGGAGACGGAACATACACGATATTTTGCGGAACCGGACGAAGACGACGCGGAAGATGACGAGGAGCGAGATGTGGGCGGTGCCGAAGAGAACGATGAGGAATTCGACCATTGGTCAGATGACGATGTCCGAGACGCGGAAGAGGATGATGCACAACGCGATCGCATCGTGCTCCGTGTCCAAGGACCGAATGACCTTCGCGATGATGCTGCAAATGGAGCTGCTCTACCGGCTATGGAGAACGTGAATGGTGACGGCCGGCCACCTGAACAACTCGATGAAATGGATGTCAATCTAGAAGACGATATGGACGGTGCTTTGGAAGGTCAGCCGGTTGATCACTGTTTTATGCGTAGTTTTCTTGACAATCTCTTGCAGCCATTGGTCTCCGAGGCCCCTTGCATAGCGTTTTGCAGAATGTAAGGTGTCCAACCATCTATTCTATTGACACATGTCTCATCGTTGCTTAGGCAGCACTCATGATTTTTATTCTCGCCACCGCTATTGGCGTGGGCATATGGCTGCCTTTTACCGTAGGGAAGTCTACTGCATTACTCTCGGTGAGTGTTATCAATCTGAGTTTTCTTGTCGACGTATCTCATAGTTCATTTTAGTTGGATCCCCCTCGATTCTTGCAAATACTTCATCTGCCCCTTCGAGCCATTCGGATTGTCACGGATCCCATCGTTGACGGAGTGCTCGTATTAATCACGCAGTTCTTGATACCTTTGGTGCTGCGTGGCCTGTGTTCACTGCTGCATAAAGTGGCGCAGTACGTTGGAGAAGACCGGGCGCAAAGTGTCATCGATGGCGGCTACAAAGTGGTAAGTACTAATGGTGCGATAATGGAGCCGTTCGCTCAGATGATATTAGATTACGCCTTTGCTGCATGCTTTCGATCGTATGTGGAGTCAAGCGGTACTGTGGCTGTCATCAAAGCCTGATATACAGCAGCCGCAGCTCTCTCCTTCCATTTTCGACCGTGTTCTTCAACAGGATTCGGCTGTTATGCGATTTATCGAACCATACTTCGCTCCGTTAGGCAACAAAGCCTGCCTGTTAGTGGAAGAGGCTAAGTTGACGTACTTGCGGCTTGCCATTGGAAGTGGCCCAAATGAGAAAGTATTTGCGATCCTCCTGGGTTATGCTGCCGTTGGATTCCTGCTGGCTCTGTATCTGAATATTCTCACTATCGGCAATGTTAGGAATGCAGGTAGGGCAGTTCGAAATGCGGTCCGCGAACAACTGCTTGTCATCAAGGTATGCTCCACTTACTCCTCCTTCATGTACTTTGTTAAGTCCCAGTAGGTGGCAGCTTTTGTCGTCATTGAGCTCGTCATATTTCCTCTCGGATGTGGGATCATGCTGGATGCATGCACTGTATGGCTTCTACCGCAGGGTAATTTCCGGTCAAGGGCGGCGTTCTCGATATATGCGCCAGTAACCTCAATATTCTACCACTGGGTCATTGGCACAATGTTTATGTGAGTAAATCTGTATCCACTATGACCAGCAGGAGCCTCACGACGAGCCAAGGTATCAATTCGCTGTCCTACTCGCGGGTTGTCGAGGAATCATGCGGCCCGGATCCATGTGGTTCATCAAGAATCCTCAGGATCAGAACTTTCATCCTATACGCGATATACTCGAGCGACCTACTTTGGTGCAAGTGCGCAAGTTGCTCATGAGCGCAGTCATGTACGGGATTGTGGTCGCTGCCGGCGTGGGTACAGTGTCTGGGGTTCTCCAAATTTTCAGCCGGACAATACTTCCTTTCCGATGGAAGATTCGGTGAGTGTCCTCTTTAGTCCTTACGATGATCATCAGTTTGACGCAGTACGATGAAGAGAACCGCTTTCTGTCGTTCCTGTTGATCTCCTTTTTCTCCACTTCGTCTTGCCACATACCATGCAGTACTTCCGGCCGAAGAAGACCATGCGACAATTTGGTATCTACCTCTGGAAACATCTTGCTGCGCAATTGCGCCTTACTTCCTACATGTTTGGCGGGCGCTATATCAACGAGGAATACACATCGCCGCGATGGTCATGGCGGTCACGTTTCATCAAGTCGAAGGCAGAGATGGCCGACACTGAGGCTGTCTTTGAAGGGACGTTCAGGCGTGTTCCTAACAGCGACAATATTGCGTTGGTCAAGGACATGCCAGCCACAGCAATAGTTGACGCGGATGGTACACCGGTTGATGACGAGCAAGCGAGACTCATTGCGCTCCAGAACGCCGAGGCGGAGAAGGCTAAGCGGAGCATCAAAGACGATTACGCTATCGTCTATACGCCTCCAAATCTTAAGTATCGCATCATGGCGTTTATTCTCTGTGTCTGGCTTGTCGGTTCTGTTATCCTCGCATTGGTACTGGGCGCACCAATTCTCATAGGCCGATGCTTCTTCCGACTATTCGTAACAGAAGAAGTCCACGATGGCTACTCCTTCATCGCCGGCTTCTACCTACTTTGGGCTTGCTTACTCGTTGTCAATTCCATTGAACGAACGGATCGGCGCCGTCAACGCAAGAGCGGCAATGGCCCTCGCGCTGATCTACCGTTATACCTGGCAAAGCGTGGCCTTTTGTGGACCGCCAAAATCACGTACATGGGCTTCTTCCTGGGCTTCGTGATCCCCACTCTCCTCGCAATTGTGATGGAGTTCTACGTCGTGCGACCCGTTCGACAATTTGCGGACCCTCCTATGGAGCCTCGCATCAAGATTGTCGATATGTGGGCATATGGGCTGCTCTACTCGAAGATTTTGTTACGATGTATGCGCATGCAACCTGGCAACGACTTGTTAGATGGGATAGATCGCGTAAGCATCGTATGTATCTACAGCGCACGGTCTGAATTTACATACTGGTTTAACAGATAAGACGTCAGGGCTTGATGCGTCCAGATGTATTCAGGGCTACGAGGGAGGTCATTGGGCCTACAATCATTGCCCTTCTGGGAATGATCTTCCTGCCCGCTGGCATGCTCTGGGGTGTGCGCAAGTTGCTGTTGCTGCCAATCGCGGACGATTTCCTCTGTAAGTGAAATCGATAGTTGTATTTCCACCGGCAGCTAATATTGTCTTCTCGGCAGTCGTGCATGTATATCCCAGCATCTTCACCGTGGCAGGCTTCGCGCATGCTTTGCTCGCACTATCAAGAGTCATCAATTCCTGGTCACAATCTATTCGTGACAAAGAGTTCCTAGTAGAGATGCGGCTACAAAATCACGAGCCAGAACCAATGTACCAGCGAAAAGTACAGGAAGAGAAGCAGAAGCAAGCTGTGGCATATTCTGAGGCGGAGGTAGACGCAGACGCAGATGCTGATCTTAGGGAAGACGAAGAAGAGGAAGAGGATTGATATCATGTAATAGCATTAAGTTAGCCGTAGTACTTGTTGCATTCCAGATCTTCCATTGCTGACACTTTAGGCTACTATTGGATACTTCTTATGATATCCACAGGACATTCACGGAAAGATAAAAAGCTGCGGCATTGTTACTATGTGCCGCCGGTCGGGCCCATTTCGTCCCTTCTACAGTCTGCGCTGGCGGCGGCGTAGGTATTCGGCCCTGTCCTTCACCCGTGTTTCTCGATCTCATGTACTAAGGATTCGCCACAATATCATTGCCATTATGACTCTCACGCTGCCTTTTACTGTAGCAAAACATGAGTGGAAGTGGCATTTTGAGCAACTGAAAGCATGCTTAACCGTCTCATGAAGGAACCTTATCATACGGGTCACAGACCATTACTCGGCGTAGGCTGGCGGTTAGAGGTACCATTTCCTCGCTTGCGTTGGAATCAAGCATGTATCGCACTACACGTATACGCGGCAATGAACGCTGCACCGTCGATGCGGGCAACGATGAAACCCTTGAATTCGACAGGGTTCGGTGTGAAACTCGAGTGATGTGTGTTTAAATAGAAGTGAGTTACACTGGTCTCATTGCAAACATGATAGGGCCATTTATCATGATGCGACCATCAGGAAAACTCAGGCCGGAAAAAGCGAATAAAAGTCAGAGAAAATCCAAAACAAGCTCGGAGGTCCTGAGACTTTCTCGGACTTATCTCCTTGTTTGGTCCCAAACAAGCCTATGCAGGCGGATTTGAGTTTTCCTGATGCATCTGGCCAAAGGGGGTCAGAGATTCCACCATTGACATATCACTGTCCAGTTGATAATGTATTGAACTATGCTGTGATGGGTATACGCTAGTGAGACTACTGATACTATAGGTACAACAGATGATGCCGCATAAGACGGACTGCCACAATTACTACGACCCCTGCACACCTCCCTGCGCCACCTTGTTCGCCCCGAGCTGCATCTGCTGCGGGTGGCCCGCCATTCCAGGCATCTGGTGCTGACCGTTGGCGATTGGCGCACCTCTGCCCATACCGGGCATGGCCCAATATTGAGGCATCCTCCCCGCAATCTGCGCATAGTACATCTGCGGGTATTGCGGTATGAGCTGTGGTGCCTGAGGCTGCTCAGACTGCGATGACAGTTGACCCGTTTGGGCACTGGTCGCCGCCCCAGGCTGAACGCCACCAGCTGCGAGAGTATGTGGCATCATCTGTGGATGTGGCGCGTGTCCGTGCGCCACGGGACGGAGGTGCGCGGGGATGTTGTACTGATTCTGCATGGTGGCCACGTAATTGTAGTTGGCTTGCGGAGGCGCATGTGCTGCTGCCACTCCTTGAGGTTGTTGAGAACTTGGGGGCATGGGCGAGCGTGAGGTCAGCCGCTGCGTTGCAGCTAGAGGACTGCTGTGTTGCGGCGTAGAGCTTCGGTTGGCCGCCATCGGACTCCGCGGGATCGGCGATGCATTCTGAGCCGATTGCTGAGCTAGGCGCTGTTGGTATACATGATGCGCATATACGTTGTACGGGATTGACTGAGGTTGCGTTTGCGGGACAGAAGTAGGTGCATTAGTGGCGGATGAACTACTCTGCTGCGCCTTCTTCTTGCCAGAGATCGCCACCTGCGGTGTCACACTACTTCCCGGAACAGCGACTTGGAAAGTACCGGTAGTAGGCGCAGCTTGTACAGGTACAGCAGGGGCCTGAGGCTGAGGTTGTGATGGAGGTTGGCTGGTTTGGTTTTGTTGAACGGGCTGAGATGTTGGGCGCGGCGCTGCGGATGGCGGGCGTGTGCCAGGACGAGGAGGACTCTGCGTTGCAGCAACATTGCCCGTAGGATGCGGTGATTGTGATGAGCGTGGTGATGACTGCACACCTCCCTGTGCAAGGAAGCGCGCTTGGAGATGCGGGGGAATTGGAAGAGGAGCTGCCGGGGCAGGGGTTGCGGAGTTTCTTGAAGCCACTGGAGACTGCCGACTGTCAGGCTTCCTGTTCGCATCAGGTTGAACTTGTGAAAAGGTTGGAGGCGGAGCTGGTTTGGAAGATGCTGCAGGGACAGCAGGCGCCGGGGCGAAGGGGATAGGAGTTACTTGAGAAAATGTTGGCTGGAGACCCATCAAAGTCGCGGTCGGTATCGTTCCCTGAGCGTATGCAGCAGACGCTGCGGCTGCGCCTGCTGCTGTCCCAGGTGTCGAGGCCGCTTGCTGAGGCGCAGCACCCGTCATCATCTGCGCATTTAAGGCGCGCTTCCGCTGCGCTGCCTCCAATATGTGATAATTCCTACAGCCGATAAAAGATGAACGTGTTTGGCTTATCATACTATAAACAGTACTTACCTTGGGGCAGTAACAGCGGGCCTTGAGAATTTCGGATTCATGAACTGCGCAAGTTTCGCACGCCGTGCCTTCTCAGTCTCTTCATCCTCTTGCTCCATCACCGCAGCTTTTCGCTTCAACGACAAAGGCGCAGTCGGAGCCGACGAACGAATGACCGAATTGACCATACGAGTCAGATGTGGGTCAGGGGTGAGACATAGCGGCGGAGAGATGGCCGTCTGTTCTGAGGGTGTGAGCAGCCACTTCATTCAGCGACGCGGGACGTACCACAATGCGAGCTTCCACCTCCAAGGCCTCGCGATCCGTCCATATGTTCCCTGCCTTCTGATCCAACAGACATATGTCGGCCCAGAGAGTCTCTGGACTTGGGGTCAAGACAACCCGGCTCTTCTGAGGATCTTCGAGGGTAGGGTCAGATGCCTTCGGTGGCCGATAGTCCTGTAGCTCCACAATCATGCATCCTGAGCGGACCTCGCGTTAGTACATACATGCCAGGCATGGGGAATGCGAACCTTCATAGAAAGGAAGCTTCGCCGTATCGAAGAGTTCTAAGAAGTCCACGGGAATACGTCGGGCACGGATATCATCGAGCAGAGACTGCGTAAATGTGGCCGGTATAAGACAGAACATCAAAGCGGTATTCAAAGGCAAACCTCACAGCCATGTGGTTGTTGTAGAGACATTTGGAGCCATTGTTGAGCGTCCAGTAGTCAGGGTACAGCTTGACCGTAAATGACGGTGGCGATAGCTGGTGCGCCTCCAGCAGGTCATCCACGGAACGCTTCAGATTATAGCCCGCCATGGAGTACGATACATAAGCAATAGATAGTCAAGCGAGAGACATGGCAGTGAGCAAGGGCCACGGTGGCGTGTGCGCTCTCTGGCGCGTTGACGGTGGTTGTTTGACTTCATGGATGCACGGCATTACGTAAGCCATTATGGTAAATCGCCCGTGGGAACCTTGAGCTCACCAAGATCGTATCTGCACGAGAATGTCGGCAGAACAGCTCAAGGAGGTTAGCGACGAGCAATTTCCCTCAGAAATTTATGCTGAGTATATGCTTCATGCCAGTTGATACCATTCTTGCATGATGCAAATCCGCAAGTCCGCCAAATTGCACTGGCGAACCTCCTTGGACATACCCCCAAGGGCTCCGCAAACCGCGAGATCTTCTTCACCGGACTACGCGGTGGAGGCATGCGACAGCAAGAAGAAAATGGTGTCGTACACGACTTGAAGCTCTTATGTCGCGATCAACTCGTAGGCTCAATTCATCCGCTGAATGCGCCGTTAACTGAGACGTTGCACAGGCAACTGCTCACGATGCTTTCAGAGCCCTCATCAATCTATCCGACTACTCCTTAATTATCGGGACACTCTCTGATCCAGATTATCTATGTTTTCTCGTTTCATACATCCTCGTCCGTGTGCAACTCCAGCATCCCTATCCACTAGTATGAGTGCTAAGAACACGACTGATAGAACCCGCAATCGATCCTCGCCGATTTAGCATCGATGCTTCTTTCCAACCTCACAGCATCTACCTCGACATGCTCGACATTGCTCGGTCTCAACGTGAAAACACTTCCAGATTCAAAATCGCCCACGGCGTACTTCCCAGTACAGTCACAATGTGGGACATGCCCGGCGCCTGTTCCCTACCCTAAGGGAGACCCGCGCAGTGTACATGCACTCCCTCCCCTCCTTGACGCATTTGTTCAGGGTGCCAGTGTCGAGGAGACACAAGACGTAGAGAAGCGCGTCCGCAGAGGCAGTCTCCACTTCTTGTCCAGTGTGTTTGCGAATTTGAGCACGGTCAGTATTGTTGGTCTACTCCATCTTCTCAATGAGCTAACATTGCGTGGCCATATCTAGACGCCTGCAGGACGGATGTTCTTCCTTACACCAAGACCCACCGACCCGCTCAAGTCGTCCGATGAAGGTCTCGAGTATCCGCTCACTAAGCTCCTTGTCTTCACGGAGCACAAGGACACAATCCGTAGGGGAGGGGTCGCCTCCACGCTCAAGTATGCGCACTCGTCACTCGCCATGCACTATCGTCTGATCCTCCCGATGTAGAAACTGTGCTTTCCATGTACAGGCTCACCGCGCCATGCTGTCTCCGGAAAAAGAACGCGTCGCCGTGCCCCCCTCGACTGTTGAGGCGCCCGGCATGGACGTTTTGCCGTATTTGCTTCTGCCATTAGCAGGGCCGGAGGAGTTTGACCTCGAGGTTGGCATTTCAGACGTACGTCTATGCATATAAGATCACTGAGGAATGTCGGCATGTAAGGACCAAGAGCTTCTTCCACCTGCCCTGCAATTCCTCCCGTCCACCAAGCAGCGTGAGCCTGATCCCGTGCTACGACTCACGCATGTAGAGACGCTGCTCCTACTGTGCACCACCCGGTGGGGGCGAGACTACCTCCGCAATCACGGTGTGTACGAAATCGTCCGGGCGCTGCATGAGAATGAGGAAGTGGATAAGGTCAGTTCTCTCGCATCTGTCGTGACCGGATATTGTGCTTCACCACCAGATTGCAGATCTCCGAACATGTGGAGCGCCTTGTCAATTTCTTGAAGAGAGCGGAGGGGACGGGGACGGAGGTGGATTTGATTGATACTGGAGAAGGTACAGAGAATCACGAGTCCGACGACGAAGACAACAGAATAGAAAAAATTTAGCCCAATTGGAGAATTTGTATGTATAGTTTATGACTCTATTTTTTCAGCATATGACAGAATCTGCAAATAGAACAATGGTTGATGACGAGAACCATTGCAGAGCCTGAGATGCGACAGTGACCCGAATTGTGAAGAGCAGAGGGTTTGGCATCGCTAATCCTCTCGGTGATATGTGCAAAGGCAGACCATGCAATCATTACACGCCTGACATTGTGTTGTTACACTGCAATCAGCACAAAACTAGGGGTACATCTGGACCTTCACAGGTACTTCTTTACGAAATCGACCGTTGCCTTGAACGCACCGTCCATACCAGCCTTCACTTTTGGGTTGCTCTGTTGGCAGAAGTCAGCATATGTTCAATGCAACAACAGCAGATGTGACGCACCATATCCCCACGCACAGCGAAGCCGTGCGTGCAGCCATCCCAGTACGTTCTCTCGTACCCGGGTGCGAACTTGCCGCTTCCGAGAAGCTCGTCAGCGACGACCTGCGATTCCTTCGGGAGCTGAGTGTCCACCTCGCAGCTGTTGATCAAGAGGGGCGCCTTGAATGTATCGCGGTATTTCTTTTGTCGCGTCAGTGCCACCAGCAGCGAGACGAGACGGCATATACTCACCTCCAAGTCGGCGGGGATCTGCAAGAGAGACGGGTGCGACACGA